GGTGCACCTGCACCGCGTTCGAGCCGGTGGATATGGATGATCCATTGGTTCAACGAGGAGCGGAGTTCTTCCTGGACCACGTGGAGAGGCTGCTGGCTACTTACAAGGACCGCAAGGGCAGACGACTGTGCGCGAAGCTGAGGCTGAAGAAGATGCTGCGAGCGGATCGCGCGGTCGACTCGAGCAGTTACGCCTATTTTTACACTATTCAGGTCAGTCCGGGTGACGGCAAGTTCGAGGTCACCGTGCGGTACCACAACGGGACGTACAGCGTGTCCGACCACGACGTCAGCCGGATCAACTCTTACGCGATCGCCGCCAAGTGTCTCGATCGCGGTATGAAACAGTATTGCTATTGCCTCCGATAGACTCGGGTCTAAATTCGGGACAGTGGAATCGGTGCCAAAATCCCTGCTACAGGATCTTTCGCATTCGCCAAAAACGCTCGCATATGTACAGGTATATTTTACTACGTCTAAACGCAAGTTTTACACCAAAGACGCGTGAGGAATCGGATCGAGGCGCGAATCGATCCGCGTGACCAATAAATCGCGTTTAACAAGGAACGAGTTTCAGCGTTTTCTTTCCTTCCCGAGTCAGTTCGAAATGGCGTCCAGGCTGAAGCGGGACACGCGACCGATCTGTCGGGCTGGTTCCTCTTCGCCGGCCATGCGTCGACGGATGGTCCCGTGCTCCGGAGTGCCGAACAGCATCACCGTCACGGATTGCTTGCGGCCATGCGCCATCGTCAGGCCCCTCCGCGCCAGGAATCCGTCCAGAACCTTTATTCCCTCGCAGAGGCTCTCTAGGTCGCAGCTGGAGTATCGCCGTCCGCGCCGTCGCTCGCAGCGAGAAGCTCCGACCGCGGTCGGGTCGGAGGCCCGCATGCTTCGGCGCGTGCAGCGGTCGCGCTCTAACTCAAGCTCCAACTCGAACTCGCGATTGTTCAGCTTCTCGTAGCTGCTCGTCGACCCGGAGGACATTCTGCCGATGTAGTTGTCGCGTGAGTAAACTGGGAATTTGCTTGCGGGTCTCCTGACCGTGCCGGAGCACGGTGTGGACGTTGCGGTTGAAGGTCCGCTTCCGGTCTGTCGTCTTCCTGCCCTGGCGCCGAATAGCCTGATGATGGCGCTCACCGACCGGGCGCAGCTCTCCTCCTCTTCTTTCTCTTCTTCCTTTTTCTCTGTCTCCTCGGTCGCGTTTCGACTACTTTGTCCTTTCTCTTCGCGCTCGGTCCGCTCGATGTACGATCGACGGAACGGTCGTGCAGGTGAATTGGTTTGCTCCTCGGGCGACGCTGCACGAACCGTCGCGCAACCGCAGGCTCCTTCGCAAGAACATCCGGAACGAGTGGTAGTCGTCGGGAAGGAGTCGCAGGACTCAGCGTCGTCCTCTGCGATTTGCGCGGGCGTTGGGTCGGTTCGTGACTCTGTTGCTGACGTGGTCGCTTCGACTGCCGTAGGTCCGCCTTCGTCTCCTGCCTCGTCGCAAGCCTCGGTGTCGATCGATGCAACGCGCGATGTCCTCGGCTGCGAATCACACGAGGCATCGCCTGTTCGGTTCGAGCTCGAAGCGTCTCGGTTCTGCGGATACGCACCGAGAAGTTCTGCGTCGATCGAGAACGAGTCTCGGTTCGGCTCGCCTCTAGCCATTGATCCTCCACTTCCGGTTAACGACGACGCCGACGACTGTCGGGCTAGTGGACACCGTTCTCGTTCACCCTCTTCTACGTTTCCTTTTACTTCCCCTGCTTCTTCCTGCTGAGTGCTCTCTTCCGCTGCAAAAAAGTTCTGTCGTTAGGTCATGTTTCGCTACGCTGGTAAAAATATGTACCGGTAGTCGAAACAGTGGGGAAGTTGCATGCGCCGAAGTGGCGGCACATGGACCCCGGAGGAGTGACGTAAGGAGGAGGTGGGCTCTCCGGGAGGCGATCCCTGCGATTCCCGTGACTGGTACCCGCCATCTCGCTGATCGAACAGGAGGATGATCGACCAACGTCCAACCTTGAAGCGGAAAAAGCAACGTAAACGCAAACGTCTGTAAACGCAGAAGAATGTTCTGACTCACGAGCAGCTGCAACCGGGTGAGTTTCGATCGCGAGTGTCTCGTGAGAAGGCTCTCCTCTTTTTCCGAGCGACCATCTCCGAGTCGAGTCCAAACTTGATCACCTCGTCGTACCCTGGCGGAGCCTCGTAGACAGGAGGGTCGTCCGATACGGAGATCTCGTCTATTCGTGCCCCGTCTGCAATATCGAATACTGTCCAAAGTGACGGTGAGAAATCGACGAGCAGTCGCGCGTGATCCTCCTCCTACCTAGCAGCTCGCTGATCGTCTGCAGCCTGGACTGTAACTCCCTCTGCTGCCTCGCCCTGGCGCCTATTCTATACAGCAGGATGATCAGGGCCGAGATCAGCACGATCAGACCGAGGCTACTCGCCACGAACACCAGCGTGGCGGTCTTTAAGTCCGGGTATCGGTCGATCTTTGGGAAATAATAGTTTGCCTTGTTCGAGTGCCACTTGCGATCCCGCGGTTCCACTTCCCAGTCTACGGACCGCAACACAATCCGTCGAACGAACGTGCGAGAAACGCGTGACGCGAACGGAATCGTTATCTACCTCGAAAGCAAGTGGCCGGCTCGTCGCTGTCGTCGCCACAGTGATCGAACCCGTCGCAGTTCAGCTCGCTCGGGATGCATCTGTGGTTCCGACAGAGAAACTCGGAACCCGCGAAGCAATCTGCAATTTTAATCAAACGATATAAACCAGTCGTACCATTCGCCTAACAAACTCACCCATGTAGCTGAAAGCCGCGTACGCGATCGCTAAACGCGAGGACGGTCCGAACGTGCCCCGAAGACTGACATGAAAACCACTGGTTACGGGTGCTACATGTTCTCTATGACCTGGTGGTTGTATCTGACTTGCCGGGTGTCGTAAAATCTCCAGGGGTAGGAGAGCCGAGGTTGGTCCCTGCTTCACCACCAGCTCCGTGTTGCCAGCTAAAACATGCGAGATGTATTAAGTTATCAGACGAATAGATGAAAGAACCTTGAAGATAATCACCCATGTCCGCGAAGGTGATCACTTTGAGGTACATATGCGTCTTCGTGTGAAGAAAGTTCTTCGGTGGCCGAATCAGCCAGACGCAGTCGTAGGTCTTCACCCCTTCGCCGACCATATCCATCATGGTGATCGCTCCACCGAGGTTCTCCACGTAGCCGCCGCAATCTGTTATCGGCTGCACCGACTTGTCGAGCGGGTGACCGATCACGAAGGAATAGAAAGCCTTGTAGCCTAACCCGGTGCCTCCGTTAGCGTAGAACCGTATCAGCAGCGAGGGGCCGGAGCTCATTATTACCGGTGGTCGAAACCTGGCGCCACTGCTCACGTCTAATCGCTGACCGTTCCAATCGTAAAACTGTAAACGAACAAAAAAATATAAGAGAAAAATTGCATTGTTAAAAAAGGGATTTTTGAAAATTTAAATTCTTTAAGTTACTATAATCTAGTTTGATATGTAATCTACATTCCAGCAGCCTCTTACCTCCATAATGGATACCGCAGCGAGCTGAAAATCGCTAAACAGCAGTCTGATGCGACAAGACGGCGCGTCGTTCGGACACGTGACCACATACTCCAGGCCCAGATCGCGCGGGTACCGAACAGGAAAGAACGGAGAGGTTAAAATCCCTCCACCGGTACTGTTCAGTCCCTTCGCCACTTGACCGGAGGTCGTCAATTGCGTACCCCTCAGATGCAGCCTGTTTCCTGCGACAACGTCGCGTTATATCGTACACTCCTGATTCCTGTATCAACCACTTACTTTCCGCCGTGTACTCGAGCGTGAACGCGTGCTCGTGCGACTGACTGTACAGTAAGGTGATGGACAACGTTCTGGTGCTCGACCTGTAGGTGATGGGCGCGTACAAACCGCAGAACGGGGTTCCGGACACGTCCTCGTACGGCGGTTCCGATATCCACACGTAGTCGCACCTGAAAGACAGTCGCTAGAACGCACTTAATCCTTTGCACGAAAGTAATTTGACTGTTTACAAAGAGCAACTTAGTTAGAAAGTTAAATAAATTTTCTTGAGGTTATTTCTTTACTAATTTCCACTATTGTTTGTTTCACTATGTATACATCACACGTGTCATGTTCTAGAATCAGTTAAAAAATACTTATTTAAAATTATTGTATGACTGTGAGTCACTTCTCGAGCGCAAAGGGTTAAGGTTGTTAGAAGGGTTACCTGCACGGACTGTCAATCGTGACGCTGCCATCACCGCAGTGGTGCGACAGCGAGATGCTCTGGAACGTCACGATTATCACGCACGACGGACATGTCACCAACTCGAAACTGCACTGAGCATGAGACCCATTACTGGCGTACACCCGCGACCCATCTTGCCTAGGCTCGTTCCTCACGAACGACACGTTCTTCGCATACAGGATCCCCTTCTCGCCTAATTCTAGGTACAGTCGCCGGCCGTTCTGGACGCCGCAGATATCCTCGTTTCGCACCACGTTGCTTTCGCCCTTGTTCGAGATCGCCCACCAAAGTACGGCCACGATCGCTGTTGACAAATCGTTACTGATTTTCCCGCGCTTTTTGTTAAGAATTTTGGGGAAAACTCACCGAATCGAAAGCTACGGTACATCTTCTTCCGACCGAAGGAAACGTTCTGTCCATCGAGAAACCCATCGCGATTACCTTCGTAATTTCATTAGTTTGACGCTGTTACGTATCTTCTTATTATGGTATAAAGCAGTTTTATGGCATCCTCCTTCGCGAATTTGCTTCCCCTTTACCACGTCCCTTCTTGCTTGGCTTTGTAAACGCGGAAAGAGTGTAAGTACGTTTTTATATATATTTTAAAGTACTGGGCACTTACCTGATACAATTAACTGTAATAATTTATTCTTTGCGCCGTGACATTTGTAAGAAGCATATTTACCCATTTTGTAAGCGTGCCTAAGAATTAATTTATACGATACAGCACTGATAACCTTTAAAAAATTTGTGATCTATAATGCAAGGTACAATGATTTTTTCCAACAATCCATGTTACATCGATAAAACCAGTTACCCGCGCAAATGTCACTTTCTTACTTTTTCAAAGTGTCAATAAATAGTTCGAAAACAAACCGCTGCCGCCATCTTGTGACGAGCTCAAGTACTTTCACCGTTGGCGAAGTAAATACAATTCAAAGTGTTTGAATTATAAAAAAATACGCATAATTATATAACCTATAAAATATATATCACTTTGCAGTAATACTGTTCTAGTTTTGAAAGATACAAATTCGACAGACGTTAAAAATTATGTCGCATCGAGTGTGCCGTCTATATCGTACTTAGTCTATGGCGTTAAATCGAACTGCGCTCGATCTATGGTACTCTCGAAACGTGACGATGCAACGTGCAGAGGACGCTAATGACGCTTACGCGAAAAAAATAGTACCGTCAAATTTGTTCAAAACGAGCGATGAGAGACGACGAATTGTTGACCGAAACGCAAGAGATTTCCGACATCGTGCCGAACATGGAGTTAACCATCGACCCAGAGAAACAGAGGTTTCCGTTCTGCATAGTCTGGACACCGTTACCGATACTGACGTGAGTAAACACTGTGCAAAGTTCAGAACGAAATGTTTACTGTTTAACCAAATAGCCTAAACTATTATTTCGTTTCCGGTGACAAGATACTTTTTACCGTTCATCGGTCACATGGGCATCGCCACTTCTACCGGCGTGATTCGAGATTTCGCTGGTCCTTATCATGTGTCCGAGGATAACATGGCGTTTGGGAAACCTACGAAGTACTGGCAATTGAACCACGCCAAAGCCAAAGGCGGTGTTCGAGGCTGGGACTCGGCCGTTGCGGAAGCTAGTGAGATTTACAAAACTAGAATGGTTAGTGCCATAGAAATGTTTCCCTAGGTTTCCTGTAATACGATGTTTTTTTCGTAGCACAATCTATGTTGTGACAACTGTCACTCGCACGTTGCCACATCGCTTAATCTGATGTGCTATGATAATTCGAGTAGCTGGAACATGGTAAAGCTAGCGTTCCTTATGCTCGTGCACGGCAAATACGTGAGGTAAGACTAGAATTTAAAGTATGACTTCTTTATTTTTATCAATGCATTTTCTTTTAGCTTTCTTGGATTTCTCAAAACATGGGTGCCATTCTTTCTTCTCGTTGCGATTGTAACCTTATTTAGTTTATTCGTACGGTAATTTGAGTACTGCAGCTACCTGATAAATAGCCGCTGCTTAACAGCACGGTGTCTGAACGGTATCGGATCGTCGTCGAATTTTTAACATAGGTGAGTATGCTCGTACTATCGTTTGTAAAATAGATAATTGAATATATTGATGCCGTTCAGGTGCCGTGCTGTTAAGCGGATGACAGCCTTTCGAAGCGGGAAACCATCGAATGAAAATAGCCAGCCATTTGGTAACTTGAACTTTATTACAAACGTGTGTCGACGCTCTAAACACTCACATTACAAATACACAATGTCGTGACACTTACAAAGTAAACTTAACGTATCGAAACATTATTCGCTATATATTACGATACAGGCGTATCGAGTCGTATCGTTCCTTTTAAGAAATAAACTTGTACTCGAGTTTTATCGAGTACTCGAGTATGCGCAGAGTTCATCCTTAAACCTTGGAACAAAGCGCGACTTTCGTAGGCGAGAAAGTAAAGATGCCTCATCAGGCGAACCGCGGTCGGAAAAGAAAAGGTTAAGGACAGAAAATCAATCGTTGCCTCCGCTGTTCATTTCCGCAACGACGCTTTCCTCGACGGAAAAACTGTAATCGTAGTTCTGATTTCTTATTCTTTCTATGAACGACAACATTTCGCTGATCCTGAGTTTGTCTAGTTCAAAGTCGTTGTTCAAATTACTGTCCAGACGTTTGCATAATTTAAACGGGACTCCGGTTAGGTAATGTGGTTGGTCCCCTTGGTTAAAATCTTTCGAGTCACCCGTAAGGCTTCCACCGTAATCCGAAACAGGTGGAACAGACGGATACAGACTACCGGAGCCGGCTGTCACACTCGGTGGCATCGGATTGGGCCATTCGTTGACAAGCACGTAGTCATCCGCTTGGCCCGACGATTGCTCCTCTTCCGCAGAATCTGTAGGCGAGTCTTTCTGATGCTTTTTCCTTCCAAAGAACCACGACATTATCTGCAAATGAAAACTTATCACTTCATCTAACAATGTCCGATTAGAGGTTAAGTTACCCGCAGAAACATCTGCGACTGCACAGCTTTGACAACATCAAAGTAACGTGTAATCACAATCACTGGAGCAGAGAAGAAACGCAAAAATTACTCACGAAGATTTCGGCGAAGTTCCTAAGTAAAAGCCCCTCTCTAAATATTAGTCATGACAGACTATTCCCGACTGGTTTTCTACGTACACTGATGCGCAGAAATACCGAGTTGATCACGTAAGGAAAAAATACGGTGCGATGATAAACGAGTTCTATCGCGATCGACGAAGAAACGATCGAACGAAGCTGTATGGAACGCGATACGGTTCTATACTCTGTTCAACGAAAAACTATATTCGTCGTATGACGAGTTTTTATTCCTTCTGCGCATGGCGGTTATAATTGGTTTGAGCATACTTTGTAACCAACAGCAACGCGCATGCGCAGTTGACATGCTCTTGCCGCGCGCACACTTGGTGATTCAAACTTTCAAATCGCAAATTCTCAAATCTAATAAATCCTCAAAATAGATGGACGCATAAATTAATAAATTAAATCATGTCTCTATTCCTGTACATATATTTTGTTCACCATATATCTTTAACATATAAGTATCTGTGGGGTAATATGAAATGGATGCCTATTGAAGTTAGCAGAATAGAACAGAATATAAATAATATAAATGACGAGTGGTTGTTAGTACTATCCGTTAGATGTTAGCACTGCAGCACGGAGGTAGGTAAGGCGCAAGCGCGGACGTGGAGAAGTGTGCGCAAGTGCGAGAGAAGGAGAGAGAAAGAGAGAAAAGAAGGGAAAGAAAGAGAAAAAGAACAACTGCAACGTCATCGCGGCAATCCCGTCGTCGGCCTCGGTTGTCGAAGGTACGTACGGCAGTCGGAGTTGGCAAGCCTGCGACGATCCGCTAGTTGTAGGTTAGAGATAGTCGATCGCGTAGTCTCGTAGCTAAGACGATCGTCAAATTGCACGAACGGGAATGAATCGTTGACGCGCGATCGTCGAAAGCGTTCGAAGCAATCGATACGCGCGGTGCATTGGTGATCGAACGGTGAAAATCAGCCTAACAGATTCGCGGAATCCAATTTACGCGTTCCTCGTGTCACGAAACGCATGCGTGCTACCAAGGTAACGAAGTGCATCTGGCAATAATCGGACGAGCCGTTATAGTTGGACGAACCGCGTCGAGGTAGCAGCGCGATCGCATTGTTTTTATGTTTCCCGTGTGTGTACATACCATGCATATACGCTCCGTCTAAGGCGTATCGCGAGTGGCTCGCCAGTGTGCACCAGTGTGTTTGTACTTTGTACGCGTCCAGTTGTTTTTCGAGTGTTTGTGGAAAAAGGGAAATTACGTGTGCTGTCGGAGAACGTTCGAAACATTGGTGGCTCGCGAAGGTGTGGCAGCGTTAACAGTAAGTCTCGAGGCTGGAAAATTTGCGCGGTACCGCGGTCCTGTTCGTTAACTCTTTGCGTTCCTCTTCTCTCGAGAGTGTTCTCTCTTCCTATCTCCCTTTCTCTCCTTCTCTATCTATCTATTTATCTATCTCTCCCTACTACCATCACTCCCACTCCTCCTTCCGCCCCTTCGTACTTTCTTCTTTCAATTTCCTCTCCGTTTTCTTTTGCGCTTTTCTCGTCTCTGTTTCTGTCTTACCTCCTTCCCACCCTCTCTCCGTTCCTCCCTACCTCTCCGCCGCCCATCCTCCCATCCCTCGTGCTTACCCGTTCGTTCTTCCCTTCGTTCCGCTCGTCCGCGTTCCTCTCTCCCGAGAAACGCTCGACGGACGAATCTACGCGTCGTATTTTTGCCACGTGTCACGCGGATCAAACTCGATCTAAAGTTCGCCAGTTTAAACGGACGTGTTTAGGCGCGACGCTCGCTCGTTCGCCTCGTTTCCAGCCAGACAACGCTCTATGATTCGATTCCATTCCACGCTACGTGAAATCGCGTCTTCCATTTCTGGAGATCGAAGCGTATCAACGACGACGACCGCTTTCGATGCGTTACCGCTATCGCTACTGCCGTCATCACCACCACCATCGTATTCGTCGACACCGACGCGACGCACGCGACTCGATACCGATACCACTAGCATCATCGACCACCGTCGTCACGATCGTGACATGGCGTCCAAATACCACTTTCCGCGATGTTTGGATCACAACGGACAATGGTCCGTCATTACATTCGTGTAAATGATTCGCATTTTCGCGTTAACGTACACAAAAAACATTTCGAACGTCGAAGCATGAAAACGACCGTTGTCGATGTAAACAGCCATTAGAAATAATAGCTCAATTAGCCCATAAATTTTTTAAACAGTGGCGTAACAGTCGTTGAAGTCCTCTCAATTTCGGCGCGAAACCGGTAAATGACATTTGGTGGCAGAAACGATCGCAAGGAAAGCGTCTATTTTTCACGCACGATCAATCGACGCGTCGCGCACGATTCATACGGCGAGACAACGAACGGACAGGTCGGAACTGGGTCATGCGATGGCGATCTCTCGAATCGATACAAGATCGATTACCAAATAAATTTCAAAATTTATTATAATAAATTTATGGAAGATCAGACCGTATACCAAAGGTAATCAGTCAGTACAGTATCGATTAGAACCGCGGACCGCCATTGCTTTCGATGATCGAGTATCGATTTTTCTATCGAAAATTTGGGTGATATCGAAGACACTTGTCGAGTAACGAAGTAGGCTTGTAAGATTCGTGCTTGTACCATCGTTGTACGAAAGGTTATTCGCGTTGCAGGAGACAACGCATGCGACGAGCAAAGAAGAGGGTTACGACGTTGCGGCGTTGACGGTAAACGCGCAGGTTACGGTGAATGTTGGAGGAAACAGAATGTCCAGCGAGCAAGCGCGAGCCAGCGCCGTCGCGACCAAAGGTAAGTTCGCGGGGTTCTTAGCGTGTTCTGATCGGTCGAACTCCTCTCCTTGTGTTCCCATCGAAACGCGGGTGCGAGACGGAGCGAGCGAGCAGACAGGAAAGCGGGCGAGGTCATCGAGGCGACCCGGAGTTTGCGGTTGACGGTATTCTAGCAGCGTGGGAATCGGAAAACAACCACCGTGACGTTCTCTCTTCGATGCACGAAATCGACAGCGTTTTTTTCCCGCGTCCACCCCGGTTTCGTATGTCGATCGATCGCGACCCTCGGAGAGTAAACGGGTCTCGGCATACGTGGCTCGTTGGATCGAGAAATCGTTGGCGCGCTCTCAACCTTAACGCGGAGGTTTCATTCATCGTTTCGTATATATTTTCGATCCGTGCCACCCCTTCCCTCTCCTACGCGATCGCGCACTCTCGTTGCCATTCAGCATCGAGACGAATCGTACGCGCGCATAGATCATCGCCGTGGCACGCCGCGTTGCCACCAAATTCCACGCGATTCCGTGAGACGTCGACGGAGCGATATACAAAGCCAATTAAATCGATAATTAACCTTCTCGAGTATCGATTAACGCTCTCGGGCTTTAACGACTCCTCGAGCGAAAATGACCGTTACGAAGAAAACGGTGCTGCTATCGATGTTCATTTTATTGACATTGATATATCGATATTATTGATATCGATACAATATGGCGGTTGCAGCAAAATGTAACGCTTATTTTTATTTTTTAAATAATTATTATAGGGTGGGTCAAGGTAGATCAATTTCATTAAGTTAGGTGACGTTAGGTCGAGCTGGATTATTCAAATTTAATAGATTGGGTTAGATTAACTTTGAGTTAGGTGACGTTAGGCCCAGCTTTATTATTTAGAGCTATTAGGTTAGATTGATTTTGAGTTAGACAAGGTTAGGTCAAGCCTGATGATTCAAATCCATCAGGTTAAGTTGACTGAGTTAGGTGATGTTAGGTCTAGGTTTATTGTTCAAATCCATGAGATTAGATTAGATTAATTTTGAGTTAGACAAGGTTAGGTCGAATTTGATGATTCAAATCTATGAGATTAGATTAGATTAATTTTGAGTTAGGTAAGGTTAGGTCTGATCTTATTATTCAAATCTATAAGATTAGGTTACATTGACTTTGAGTTAGGTAAGGTTAGGTCTGATCTTATTATTCAAATTTATACGGTTAGGCTAATTTGGCTTTGAGTTAGGTGAGGTTAGGTCTAATCTTATTATTCAAATTTGTAATGTTAGGCTAATTTGGCTTTGAGTTAGGTAAGGTTAGGTCTGATTTTATTATTCAAATTTATAGGGTAAGGCTAAGTTGACTTTGAGTTAGGTGAGGTTAGGTCTAATTTTATTATTCAAATCTATATGGTTAGGTTGAATTGACTTCGAGTTAAGTAGGGTTAGGTGCAATTTATTATTCAAATTTATAAATTGAGGCTAAGTTGACTTTGGGTTAGGTGGGGTTAGGTCTGATCTTATCATTCAAATTTATAAGATTGGGCTAATTTGGCTTTGAATTAGGTAAGGTTAGGTCTGATCTTATTATTTAAATTCATAAGGTTAGGTCTAATCTTATTCTCCAAATCTATTAGGTTAAGTTAGATTAATTTTGAGTTAGTCAAGGTTAGGTTGAATCTTATTCTCCAAATCTATTAGGTTAAGTTAGATTGATTTTGAGTTAGTCAAGGTTAGGTCGAACTTAATGATTCAAATCCGTCAGGTTAGGTGAAATTGACTTTGAGTTAGGTAAGGTTAGGTCCAGGTTTATCATTCAAATCTATTAGGTTAGATTACATTAATGTGGATTTAGGTTAGGTTAGGTCCAGCTTTATTATTCATGCCTATAATGTTAGGTTAAATTGACTTTGAGTTAGGTGTGGTTAGGTCCAGCTTTATTATTCAAGTCTACTAGGTTAGATCAGATTTGTATTAAGTTAGGTGAAGTTAGATCATTTGAATTTAATGTTATCTTATTTAAATTCGATAGGTTAGGTCACTCTATCAGATCAACGATAAAGTTTCGATACAATCGATAGCAGCTCCAGCTTAGAAAGCACGAGATACCCGTGGGTGCAAAACGGCGGATCAGCGACCGTGTTCACCCGTCGATACGTAGTTTGTCGTCGATCGGAGCCAACGACTGACGGCAAAAGAGACGCATCGTAACGTCGTTGCACGGCTTCTCGAGCTTTCTATTTTTAGACGGCCCGATCGAGTATACGGGCATCGTCAAGGCCGTGCGTTGCGAAACGATTATCGGTGGCACATGTTGCGCCCGCGCTACCGACCGTGCCGTACCGATCCGATCGATTCTCTGGAACAACTCACAAAACGTTAACTCGGAATCAGCTATCGCGTGTCGGCCTTCCCCTGCGAGCGCCGGCCCATCGAGGCGAATTTCGTGAGCGGCACGTAAGCGATCCGCTGACTTCTTATGGTCGACCAGTAGCGTCTGTACACGTGGAACGCCGACGCCGTCATCAGCAGAAAGATACCCAGCCCTTTGATCAACATCTCCTTGCTCGCGTCGAGCTCCTGGGCCGCGGTCCACTTCAAAAATTCCACCACGTCCTTCGCCATTTGCGACGCGCTCGCCGGCGTGCCGTCGTCGTACTCCACCATGCCGCTGTACAGCAGCTAAAACAAACCTAACGTAGAGGCAAGTTTTTGCCACGCTCGAACCAGCTCGAAACTTATGTACTTGCGGCATCGTCGTGAATCCACCGGGAAAGTAGATGTTGAAGTATTGACCTTCGTTCAGTTCGACGCCGGCAGGGGGATCCATGAAGCCAGTCAGCAGAGAGAAGCAGTAATCCAACCCGTATTTTCGAGCGTGCACCATCTGAGTCAGGTCCGGAGGGTACGCGCCGAAATTCGCGGCCCTTGCCGCCTCCTCGTTCGGGTACGGAGACGGTATATAGTCCAGCAGTTTCGCGGGACGGGTGTAGTAGTTACCCACTTCATCAGGACCATCCTGCACCTGTATAGTCGGTTACTTTTATGAAATCATCGGTTTAGGCTTCATAGGTAGCTCATCAGGGAATTTCGGTTTAAAAATAAAATTGTACAATGAATAAGGGGTGACATTAAGAGATGACAATATACTTAAGGGATGACATTATTCTCTTTCTGGATGAAAGCTGACTAAGGGTCTTTTTCTGTAATTTAAAGTGGAAGACCTAAGATGAGTTGGGAGGAGTTTCATAAACTTGGACCTAAATATCGTAATGACCCTACAGGTCCTACTGCAGCTTTCCTCTACAAATGTCCATACATATGATAGCATACAAATGTTCATACATATGAGAGCACACAAATGTCCATACACATAATAGCACACAAATGCCCATACATACATGTGTCTTTTAGCTGCATCATGTAAGACATAACGTAGATCTTATACCCCAGCTTCTACTACAAAGAACTTATTCCCAATCTGAACAAAGATATCCAGTATTACGCAGTTGTGATCGAACTAAAGTCCAGAAATATCCTTTATAAAGTTGTCGAAAGCAGAAGACCTCGAATTCAGCGGCGATCGCTTTAGCCTCCTCCCTCGTGTGCGTCGTTTCCACCAGGTCCATGAAGCGAATATAGCGCAGACTGTGACACGTGTGACAGACTGTTCGATAAACGACCCATCCTCTTCTGAGAGTCGCGTGGTCGAACGATTTGAACGGCTTGTTGAAAGCCCACGGGAACCGAGGTATCTCGATGTCTTGCTCGAACGCTGCGACCGATCGATCCAGGTAATGGAGAACGATCCCGCAGCCGGCTACCAATCCGGCGAGGATGCCGACTCGGTTTGCGGTTTTCCTGCGGATGGATTGCCACCTACGCTCCGCTCCTGAGAACAACGATTGACGAACGCGATTAACCTTTGGATCCATTGCGTTTTCGACAGACACTCGATGAACGGCGGTTGGACAAATGAGGGACGCGTTGATGAGGCGATCCGCTCGATCTTTCGTATTCACGATAATCGATTGATCGAAAGACTGGGCTGAAATTGACAAATTTTCTCGGTGGAGTAACTTGCAGTTAGAGCTTGTTTATGAGAGTTGCTGCTAGTGTCCAAGGTCATAATGTCCTCTTAAAGCTCCTCCTTAGAAGTCCCCCTTAAAGCTCCTCCTTAGAGGTCCTCCTTTAAGCTCCTCCTTAGAGGTCCTCCTTAAAGCGCCTTCTTAGAGGTCCTCCTTAGAAGTCCTCCTTAGAGGTCCTCCTTAAAGCTCTTCCTTAGAGGTACTCCTTAAAGCGCCTTCTTAGAGGTCCTCCTTAAAGCGCCTTCTTAGAGGTCCTCCTTAAAGCTAGCTCCTCCTTAGAACTCCTCCTTAGAGGTCCTCCTTAAATCTCCTCCTTAGAGGTCCTCCTTAAAGCTCCTCCTTAGAGGTCCTCCTTAGAGGTCCTCCATAAGCTCCTTCTTAGAGGTCCTCCTTAAAGCGCCTTCTTAGAGGTCCTCCTTAGAGCTCCTCCTTAGAAGTCCTCCTTAGAGGTCCTCCTTAAATCTCCTCTTTAGAGGTCCTCCTTAAATCTCCTCTTTAGAGGTCCTCCTTAAATCTCCTCTTTAGAGGTCCTCCTTAAATCTCCTCTTTAGAGGTCCTCCTTAAATCTCCTCTTTAGAGGTCCTCCTTAAATCTCCTCTTTAGAGGTCCTCCTTAAATCTCCTCTTTAGAGGTCCTCCTTAAATCTCCTCTTTAGAGGTCCTCCTTAAATCTCCTCTTTAGAGGTCCTCCTTAAATCTCCTCTTTAGAGGTCCTCCTTAAATCTCCTCTTTAGAGGTCCTCCTTAAATCTCCTCTTTAGAGGTCCTCCTTAAATCTCCTCTTTAGAGGTCCTCCTTAAATCTCCTCTTTAGAGGTCCTCCTTAAATCTCCTCTTTAGAGGTCCTCCTTAAATCTCCTCCTTAGAGGTCCTCCTTAAATCTCCTCCTTAGAGGTCCTCCTTAAAGCTCCTCCTTAGAGTTATTATGGCTCTTGAGTCATCATCAGCGTAAAAATCTAAAAGGTAATACGGGCGGGTAATTCGAAATGTGTGTATAAAGCTCGCGGAAGATCGGAAAACTCGCGAGCGAGCCACCCACTCACCCAGCGAACCGAGCAGCCACCCACACCTCGTCGATGGAGCGCGTTACGACGCGACGAAATTAGCACGGGTACAATACGCGATCCCGCCTTCGCTCGGAAAAATAGATTTGGCACGGTTCCAAACCTCGGCTCCGAATAGATCTCGAATATATGGATCATCGCGGGCCTTCGCGTTCTTGTTTGCCCGTCCGGCATCGTCGCGTGCACCTCAAAACCGAACTTTCCTTCACCGTCGCGAGCCATCGATCTCCCAGATCGAACGCGACGGTGACCTCGACGAAGAGCGCGGCTCCGCGTTATCGGACACGCTCCCCAGACCGTTCGGAAACATCCTTGGGAAACGGTAAACCGAGCGAAAATAAATGGAGCCGATCAAAATAAACTCTAAGAGGCTATTTTACGCGCACGGTTGTTTCGACGCGCGTCTCAACCGCGTTGCCAGCCCGTCGCTCCTCTGACGAGCGAGTAGGCGTGAATCGAGTCGAATCGAACGTATCGAGCGAAAACGCGATCGATTTCAACGCGACAAAACGCGATCCCCCCTCTTTCCACGCGACCTCGTTTCAACAAGATCGAAACCGGACGTTCTTTGTTTTTTTTCTCTCACCTTGCGTTACCGAGACGTTCGTCCCGAAACACTAAAAACAAAGCGTATTAAGCACTCGGTTAATCCGAGAGATCGTCGTAGAAGCGCGTGGAACGCGGATATAAATAGCGGCTTCGTTTGATAACGACCTCGCGTCGTTCCGCCTCGAAGTCCAGTTCGATTCGTTACTCTTGCTAAACAGCGATCGAAAAACGCGCGAGCTTCGAACGCGGCTCGGCCCGCGTCGGTAAACCTCGGTCAAGCTCGGCCCGAGACGAATCGGCCGCTTCCGATTATGTTCGGTAAAACTCGGGGACAGTTGAACCCGTTTGAATCTTGAGCTGAAAAAATTATCTACTTTGACATCCGAGACTGTGTTTTCCTCGAAAAAGGGTTTATACGTTGATCGAGTATTTGTGAATACAGTGAGAGAGCGAGACCGAGACCGAGAACGGGAATAATGGGTTGCGGCGCGGCGGTGACGCGGATCGATACGTACGTACCTATTATTAGATCGGTCCGGTGGACACGACTATTATCATCCGTAACGACGTTATCGTGGCGTCTTTGACGGTTTCGCAAATTCAGTCGCGTTTTTCGATATCGATCAAGCGTCGACGACCGTCGATCGCGACCAAGACCGCGACCGCGACCAAGATCGCTTCCGGTAGCGGGACGTAGGCCGCGGGTCCGACGTAACAGCGCCAATACGCGCGCATGCATAATGCCAAGCATAACCGAGTAGTTTATTTATAACGTCGCGGAAATATATTCGACGCCTTTATTGTAAAAGATTGTGTAACGCGGCGTTACGCAACGGCGTTGCGTCGAAAAACGAAGAAACAGTTTTCCCGGAGAGTCGGTACCGAAAATTTGCCCGTTCGACGCGACGAAAACGAATAACGCGCCGATCGATCGCCGCGGGTATTTCTATTTTTATCGCGACGGCCCGTTGCTACGCGAACGGCGTTTCTTCGTGGCGGTTCTGCTCTTTCGCGATTCTTTCGGTTTCGCGGTGTCCACGGTTTCGTCCCTTGGCCAACGGACGCTCGGTCGCGTAGGTGGCGCTAAACTTCGCGGGAAGGGAGGGGGTAGTAAACATAACCCAGTTTCGCGAACGGTGGCAGCCGTACCAAGGGGGACGAAAGGAACGGGTGGAACCGATAACCTAGCCCAATAACGCGTTCCGATACTCCGTGCAAAGGTCAGCCTATCGAACCCCTTCTATTTCCATCGTATCCTTTCTTTTTCTCCTCTCTATTTTTTCCTTCTTCTTCTTTCGCGTCGCCACTGTTAGTGGTCGTCGGCCGCGTTTCCGATGAGTCAGTGAATGCGTCGCCGTGAACTGTCAGGGTGGCGCCAACGCGTACGCGACTCACCACTCGCCGCACGTTTTACGGCCGTTTGAAAATACCGCGACGAATTAAAGAACTTGCAGATTTTAACGTCTCGAAAGTTTCGACACACTTTGTATCGATGACACGTGCCTGGTTTTTATTAATATTTAAATAGCGTTTTTATTCACTGTTTAATGGATCGATTTAATGTAACAGAAATAGGTTTTATTATTTCATAACGTGATTGATAGAACGCTTAATTTGAAGGAAGTGACAAAGCGTTGACGTAAATGTACGTCGACCTCCGCGTTCTTTGCGCAGCGCTAGGAAAACGCACCGCGAATATTAACGCGTGTTTTTGCACGCGTAGACGTTTATTTTTGCTGGTATTTTTAGCAGACGGTATTTTCGAACGGGACCGCCACTATTTTCGTCCTAACGCGCCATACGGCGTATTACCGAGAGACCACCTACGAAGCGGTTTCCCTCCCCCTTTCTCTATCTGTTTCTGCGTATCAGATAGGCTGTACTGGCTATTATTTATTGGAAATGTATTCCGAGCTATTTTGAGAATAACTTATATCGTGTACTTCTTTTAAGTTCAAGTACTTTATAGGGAAATTACGTTATGTAATAATATCAATTATTTAATAATGAAATAAAATACAGTATGTAATAATAAAATAAATTAAAATATACAATAAAATAGAATAAAATATACAACAATAAAATACAATAAAATATACAATAATAAAATAAAATACAATAAAATATATAGTAATAAAATACAATAAAATATATAATAATAAAATACAATAAAATATACAACAACAAAATACAATAAAATATATAATAATAAAATACAATAAAATATACAACAATAAAATACAATAAAATATACAATAATAAATTAAAATAAAATAAAACAAAATTTAGTGACAGTAAGAGCTTACAATCTGAGGTACAAACACTTAAATTATTTTATAACAAAAAATACAATAATTAGTTTTTACAAAGTGCTTTAATTTTTTTTTTAAATATATTGAGGTTTAAAGTAGCAACTAATATTTAAAATATTTTACAGCAATTGAAATGCAATAATATTTGCAAAGTACTTAAATTTTATTATGCATTGTATTTATTTTATTTATGTATTTGCAAAATGTTTAAATTTTATTTTAAATATGTTAAGGTTCAAGTACTAACTAATATTAAAAATATTTCACAGCAAATTGAAATGCAATAATATTTGCAAAATACATAAACATTTTTTAAATATATTAAGATGCAAAATTCTAACTAATATTCATAATATTTCACAACGAAAATGCAATAATATTAACAAAGTAAATTTTCTCTTAAAGCACAAAGCAATAATAAAAATATTAAAATACAAAAATCTATATTTGCAAAGTACTTTCATTTTCACTTAAAATATGTCGAGTTCAAAGTACAGTTGTGTAATTATAATAGCATCACACGTGGATCGTAGAATACGTGTTTATTTGACGATGCAAATAAACGGAATATTTGAGCAGTTACATTAATTGCGTATGTTAAACCGATTTCGTGGCACCTTAATAGAGTCTGGCTATTCCGGGATGTTGATGAACAATACAGTATTGCATGACGACAATATTTTAGGGGGAGGTACCAAGACACGAACTATTTATACTAACAAGGAGAGAAATATCGGGTGTGCATTGATATTTTCAGAGACGATATTTCTGCACCTTAAGAATATATTTTTTTTCAAGTACGTGCCTCGATATTTTCGCTATACGAACCACTTTCAAGATCTTTTTACAAAATTAATTTTCTAATTTACTAAGTATTTAAAAACTTATATACAATTTTTTCTTTTTAAAAAAATTAACTTAAAAATTTACATACAATTTTTTCTCTTTAAAAAAATTAACTTAACAATTTACATACAATTTTTTCTCTTTAATAAAATTAACTTAACAATCTACAAAAAATTTTTTTAAACAGAACATCAATCTTTTAAGTCATTTAACAAACTCAGTTAATAAAATTAGTTTAGGATTAAAACTTATTAAAAAGTAGTACAAAAAGATTTTTGTATTTATCCTATTTTTAGTAGCATAATCTGCTATTTAACATTAAGATTAAATAAAAAAAAATTTCCTTTAGTGGAGAACCTTATTGAGATAAAATTAAAACTTGTTAAAAAACAGTATAAAAAAATTTGTTTGCATAAACCACGGTTGCTAAAATGATAAAAAATTGTATATATTACCCTGTATAATTTAGCACAGTAAAAGGTTTCATTCTATTTTGAAAAGTATAGATGCACCGTTCACCGTATGCAGTATTTTAGCTAGGTCGAATATCACGGGTTCGGACACGTGTATGATCTCCCGCTTTCTCGTTCCAGCGAATTGGACGGGGAATCGGGGTAACGTCGCGAGCCTTCGGACGTTCGGCTCGTATCGATTCGGCTATTTCGAGCGGAAGGTAGTTGACGGTATAATTGCGCCAACACGTAATTAAACGTAGTTACGTGATCGAGCACGCAAATAAACGTCGCGTTCGAAGGCGGGAAAAATCGGCGGGATTTATCGAACTCCGGAGCATCGATCGATCGATCGCGACGTTCCCCGAGTGTACCCGAGCGCTATTTCGAAGGGGTGAAAGGGCCGTAGCTAGGTAAGCCGCTAAAAATAACGCCGGTACATCATATCGAGCGGTCGTCTATAAATAGTTGGAAGTGACGAGAGACCCTGGACGGAGTGGCGGTGCTACCCAACACGCGCCATCTTTCAGAAAAATTCAAAACACCGCACCGGGGGAGCGGGAACGTTTTCGACCATTCGAAAAGCCCTTTATCGTCCACGGTTTGCTATCGGCTTTTCGGTCGATCGAGGGAACCGAGAAGGGGTGACCTTGCCACCTATTTTCGGAAGCTTTCTCGTGACTAGCCGTCTCGGAGGCCATCCTTCTTTCGAATGGAATCGAAGAAACTCGGGGAAACGCCGCTGGGACGCCAACCAGCTGGCTAACTATCGATCGATTAATGCTCGCGGTCCTCTGGAAATGGCCACCGATCCAACGCGTCGCGCCGGCTAGCCAGAAACCACCTGCTCGATGTGACGCGTCGCGACGCCGACACGGTGCTCCACATTCGCTGAAATTTACCTAAAACCTTGTTTCTTCTGTTTTCTCTGTACCCGACATTTTGTGCCAGACATGTTCTGCACCAAATATTGTAGCCACAAAAATATTTCTGTGCAAATTTATTAATAACTGCATGCTTCAATTGTTTACTCAGGTTATGTTGTCCCTGTGAATACAAAAATTGCATTAGAATTTGCATTATACATTGAGTGAATTCAATTTCATTTTTTCTCACACACACATAATTTTGATGGTCACAAATATTTTTGAACACTGCAAACTTATTAATAACTGCATGCTTCAATTGTTTACTCTGGTTATGTTTTCCCTGTGAATACAAAAATTGCATTAGAATTTGCATTATACATTGAGTAAATTAAATTTCATTCTTTCTCATACAAACATTTTTGAACACTGCAAACTTATTAATAACTGCATGCTTCAATTGTTTACTCTGGTTATGTTTTCCCTGTGAATACAAAAATTGCATTAGAATTTGCATTATACATTGAGTAAATTAAATTTCATTCTTGCTCACTACACATTTTTGAACACTGCAAACTTATTAATAACTGCATGCTTCAATTGTTTACTCAGGTTATGTTGTCCCTGTGAATAAAAAAATTGCATTAAAATTTGCATTATACATTCAGTGAATTAAATTTCATTCTTTCTCACTCAAACATAATTTTGATGGTCAAAACATTTTTGAAAACTGTAAACTTATTAATAACAGCATTCTTCAATTGTTTACTCAGGTTATGTTGTCCCTGTGAATACAAAAATTGCATTAGAATTTGCATTATACATTGAGTGAATTCAATTTCATTTTTTCTCACACACACATAATTTTGATGGTCACAAATATTTTTGAACACTGCAAACTTATTAATAACTGCATTCTTCTATTGTTTACTGTGGTTATGTTGCCCCTGTGAATACAAAAATTGCATTATACATTGAGTAAATTAAATTTCATCCTTCTTCACACAAACATAATTTTGATAAATTTATAATATAGGACTTACACTTTTTTTTCTTATTTTTATCAGACCTACACTTTGGGTTTTATATTCATTAAGGTATTTATAAAGTGACATTTTTACAGCACCGATAGCAGCCATTTTGTCTAAAAAGTGCAACTGCTCTTTTCCTAAAAAAGGTGGAATTTATTTCTTTATTTTAAGAGATTATTTTTACCTTAACGTTCTAATACACAATAATGGTTCCCATCGTTAAAACAATGAACGATAAATAATTCTTGAGCGCCTGAAATATAAACCGTGTCGTACAAAAAATAAAACAGTGCAAGTTTATCGATCAATTGCAGATGAAAGTCTGTTGAAAATGGTGACATTTATGTGACCATAATCTTACCTTAACACTAAACTATTGTGTAAAATAAAATGGATAGAATTAAATAAACGTAATGGAAAAGCATTGTTCACATCTACTTACGAATCTTTAATTCCGAAAGACGTGTCTAGACTTAATGTCCGTAAACAATATGGCGGCCGAAAGTATTTTAGCAGAAATCCCAAGAGTCTTTATTGATCAACTTCACTATAAACTTCTTCATTCGTTTTATCTAACCGTACAATTGTTCAAGACAATTATAGTTTTCCTTGGCTATATTACAGTCTCCGCTGAAATCGGTTTCAAAATTTTGGTCAGGTTTCTCTAGTACGCAATCGGTGGGTGGCAATCGGAAGAAAACAGAAGAATAATAGACAAAGACGCAGGAATAGATGGATAGATAAATAGATAGAAAGAGACGGGTACGATACCGGGTGTGCTATAAATAGCGAAGATTCGCGATCCTGACGAGGCACGGCGCTGGCGTCGATCGCCGCGTACTCGCGAAATAACGCCGGAGGAGAGGGAATCTCGAAAGAACCGAGGCACCTTGTACAGTTTCCTTTGGGCGTTCGCGGCGTGTTCGACAGCCCTGCACTTCCTTGAATCGAGTTTAATCGGAAAACGGACGTCGCGCGATGCGCGCCGCGACGACGCGAGTTTCTTACCTCGTCGCGTCTCCGCTCGACGCTTCGTTCTCGCCGTTTTCGTTGCTCGATCGAGTAGGACGCTCGCAACGAGATTCGCAATCGCGAGGTAAATCTTCACGCCTTTTCCCGATCCTCGTCTTGCCTTTTTCGCGCCTGTCAACTCTATTCGATCGTCCAGATCGACATACCGTTTCCAACGCGCACCGGACCACCTGTTGTGCTCGTTCGTAACCAGCGACAGTTCGTTACGGGAACTAGCGACCGACGCGACGCGTCGCGTCACTTCACTCCGTGTCGTTCACCCGTGTCCAGATCGTCGTTACAATGGTGAGCAATGTTTTCTGATTTCGTTCGGAATCTGTCGTACAGTTCCGGAATCGGTCGTTCGGTTCCGTCGCAGAAGACCGGTTTTTTTGACAAGTTCCTAAACGATTTCGTCTCGAATCGGCCAATGAACTTTGTCAGTGCGAAAGGTTGCGACGGTCAGCGCGTTTCCACCGAACGAATAAGCGCCCTCGATCATCCGAATCTTCAGGAGTGGGGGTAGATCTTATTGAAAAGGGTGTTTCATAAAATGACCACGGGCGCTGCGTAAGTGACAAGTATCTATAATCAATTATTTTTAATACTTTCGTTATCTGTCACGAATTTCTTTAAAGATGACTTTTGTGTCGCAGCGCCATTACGGTGGCCAAACAGAGAAACCTACATAAAGACTACCCTTACCCGACGAAATTCAAGTGTGAAAGAATGTTGAATTCGGAAGTGGGGATGCAACGCTCGATGTAAACGCATCAGCGGAAGTCGCGTTTATCGTTCGGTGAACTGGAAACGGGCTGTCGCCCTTCGCAGACAATTCGCGACGCAGTTGCTATTTCCCGTAATTCGCGACTCGTAAATTGCGAGGAGACACGGCAAGATGCGACGATACGAGGCAAGGCGACGGTGAAACCGAAACGTGGCTGACGTCACTGGAATCATTCGCGCCACTTAGACCAAGTCACGGGATCAATTTAGAACGCGGACGAAGACCGTCGTCGCCCCGGCCGAGCTTTTCGTCGTTTAAACTTGTGAACATGAAATTTTAAACTTCACCGGAAATGAGCCGGAAGTGGTGTGTGACCGGTAATTCAGTTGTCGGAAAATTGCCTTCTTAGAACTGTTTAAAATTAGTGTGGAATATATTTTCTGAATATACAGAATTTACTGTGGATGTAAATTCAGTTACTGACAAGAATAATAAACTAACGTTTCATGAATAGGTTATGTGTACTTGAGGCTGTTTATAAACAGGTAAACTGTATAAATGAGTGAGTGTAATTAAATGAGTGTAATTCTGGTTTAGTCAGAAAGCGGAAGTGTCGTGTTTAGAGGTTATGCAGTTTTTCAACAGAGTGCGATTCGGCGTCGGGGTCGTTGTTCTCTATCGAGATGTGCCACCCACGCGGTTTCTTCCGTTCGACGATTTCCTTTCTCGAAAAGACGGGGTTCGCGAGGCGGAAATCGGGACGTGTTCGGAATCGCGCGTTCGGGAAAATCGCGTACTCGAAGAAGCGTCAGTGATAAAAGCGCGCGTTGAAAACGAGATGCTCGGGGGCGTACGAGGGGATGTAAGTTCTCGCGTTTAGTAGGCGCGTGTATAAATGTCATGCTATATATAGAGAGCGTTCGACTAATCTTAGCTACTCGGCCACCAGCCAGAAGGAACGCGCGTAAAAACTTGCTTCGCTCGCGCGTTTCTCCTCTCGTTTCGACCTGTTCGCGGCGAATCGCGGCCTTTTCGCTCCGATATTTTCACTTTCGAACGAACGCGCTGACCTTTTTCCTTCTCTCTCTCTACGGTCTCTCTCTGCCTCCACTGACCTACGCGACGTACAGTCTACCGCAAATTTTCCTTGGTATATTGCTAATATGCGAATTTTCACTGTTTCAATATTTTTTTGTAGTAACACGTTGAGTGACATTAGATGATGTCTATTTGTATGACGCAATGAAATGAAGACTTTTAATATGGCGCACTAACATGAAATCTATTAATATGATACAATACAATGAAGTTTATTAGTATGATAACGTAAAATGAAGTTTATTAGTATGATAACGTAAAATGAAGTCTATTAGTATGATAAAATAAAATGAAGTCTATTAGTATGATAACATAAAATGAAGTCCATTAGTATGATAACATAAAATGAAGTTTATTAGTATGATAAAATAAAATGAAGTCTGTTAATATAGCACAATAAAGTGAAGTCTATTAATATGATACAATACAATGAAGTTTATTAGTATGATTAAATAAAATGAAGTCTGTTAATATGGCACAATAAAATGAAGTCTATTAATATGATACAATGCAATGAAGTTTATTAGTATGATAAAATAAAATGAAGTTTGTTAATATGGCACAATAATATGAAGTCTATTAATATGATACAATACAATGAAGTTTATTAGTATGATAAAATAAAATGAAGTCTGTTAATATGACACAATACAATGAAGTTTATTAATGTGACAGAATAAAATGAAGTCTATTAACATTTTTTAGAAAGAAATATTTAAGTACATTAATACAATTGATTTAATACAAACATGTAACAAATAAAAATTAATTGTACAAAGGAATTTTAGGTAATTACAAATAATGTAGATTCTTTAATTTTGTATTGTATTTTATACTGAAAGTTAGCGTTGACTGATGTGTTACTCAATGTGTTACGAATTTGAAGACCCAAGGAAAATATACAAACGTGCAGATGTCTTTGGAGATCTAGGGACAAAGCTAGGGAAATTTATGCAAAGTTCTAAATTTATAAACTAAGACTCTTAACTTGTAACCATAAGTACAAGCCCTGATAAATGTAAACTGATAAACGTAAGTTAATACGGCGGGAACAGTTCGCGCGTTGTAAATGCACCCTTACCCGTTTTCGCGCGCTCAAGTTTGAATTCTGGCGGGAAGTAGTCCTGACTGTAACGCTTCTATTAAATCGAAAAGCATGTACCGAGTTTGATATCGACAGCAGAATTCTTTGTTCACGTCCGAACTATAGAATATTTAACACAGAATATTTATAATATTATAAATACTATAATATTATTAATATTGATATTTAATACATTATTTAATAGTTAATATTAATAATAATATTAATAATAGAATATTTTAGATAAATTACAAAAATTAATGTTCTGTAGATGTTCTGTTTAATGTCAGTCCTGTTAAGGACAAACCTAAAGAACAAACTTGAGTTCTTAACATTAATATTAATATTTAATAGTGATATTTAATATATTATTTAATTTTTAACATTAATAATACAATATTTTGGATAAATTACAAAAAGTAATGTCATGTTAATGTTCTGTTTAATGTCAGTCCTGTTAAAGACAAACCTAAAGAACAAACTTCAGTTCTTAACATTAATATTAATATTTAATATATTATTTAATTTTTAATATTAATAATAGAATATTTTGAACAAATTACAAAAAGTAATTTTCTGTTAATATTCTGTTTAACATCACTCCTGTTGAGTGAAGCCCCAAAAAATGAACATGGCCGATAATTTTTGTTTTACGACACTGCACATGCCAGTCCCTAAAGATGCCCAATGGCTCCAGCAAAATTTATCTATGTCGACTGGTCACCAAGTATATTCATCAATCGTATAGTCCGTTTCTCGACTCTTAAGAAACTCGAAGGGTTCCCGTTCTCAGGAACGTCGCTCGTCCGCGCCAAACGGGAGAAGAAGGAAGCGAGAGCAGAGCGAGCGGCCCTCCTCCGCGATTAACCTTGGACTTGACTCGTCGGAATGCAGCGTGCAGTGACCCCTCGCTCGCCTTCTCTCAGTTCGCTCGCGCTCTCTCACCTTCCCGTTTCCTTCCCCCTCTCCTCGGAAAAATCGCGGCGCGTTAAAAGGATGCTTTGTGTCTGTTCCAGAAGACGTGGGTTACGGAAGCGTCGAAATCGCGTCCGCGTTTACCCATCTGCCGCAGAAAGGTAAGCTTCCCCCGCGAAACCGGCCGAAAAGACTCGTACGGTGGTTGCCGCGCATGACGCGTCTAAAAATAACGCTATCGAGCCTCGAGCTTTTCCTACCGTTTAACGATCAAGCACGACTGTTCGGCGTCTTCAGTCGGCCTTGCCGATCTCTGACCCCCTTCCTCCCCCGTGATCGACCGAGAGGTAGAGAAACGGGAAGCGAAAGAGGAAGAGGAAGAAGAAAGTCTTCTTCTTCTTCCTCCTTCTCTTCCTCCTCTTCTTCTTCTTTTTCTTCCTGTTTGAAACACGAGCGGTCGTGTGTGCGCAGAAATGGCCAGGGACACGCCGGGCTCACCGATGTCTAGGCCGAGAGAGCTGGTCGGCGGAGTTGGCGGTGCTGCGACCACCTTGACGTCCAGCGCGTACCACACCGCCTCCGACCCAACCGCCCTGCACGGTCACGCGCTCCAACAAAAAATACTCGAGGTAACGTATCTCCTCTCTTTCTCTATCTCTCTCTCTTTCTCTAATTTCTCCTCTCTCGGTGCACGCTCCAGTTCGTCGTCGTCCTCGTCGTTCAGTCGCTCGATCCTCGGCCCCAAGACGCGGGAGTTTCCGCCTCGCGGTCCTCTAACCGACATATTTTTCTCTCTATAAATAGCCGAGGATGCCGTTTTCCCGCGCGTCGCGCTCTCAAACCGCTCGCTGGCTTCGACGTCGGTCGCGCGTTATTTTTAAACTCGAGCGAGAACGCGTGCGTACTCGCGTGTACCGTCTGGGTCACGCGATTCGCGAAAACCAACCGTTTCGAACGCTGAACCACGTGCACATTTTCTGATTTCAGCTGCAGCAGCATCATCAGCTACAGCAGCAGATACTGCGACAGCAGTACCAGGCGCAGGAACGACAACTGGCAGAGTTGCACGAGCAACAGATGCATCAGCTGAAGGTAAACTTCCCTTTCCACTGCTTCCATCTTCTACTACATCCTCATCTACTACGTGCTCTCATCTTCTCCTTCTATTCGAGATTATATCCTACACGCCTTCTCCCATTGTCTTCCTCGAGTCAAAAGTCCAGCGGAATATTCCTCTCGCAAGCCCGCGACGATACGAACGAGAGACGACAGAGAATAACCGTTACTTCTGGAGGAGGATTTGAGTCTTACGATGTCGTCGAGGATTGAGGCTCCGATTTCTTTGTGAAGTCTTCATCAACCCTATACTCAGGGATGGTCGCAAGTTTAGGGAGATCCGCAAGTAAGATGCAGAAGGTGTAAGAGGGAGATCCACGTTTGGTTACTCTCTCAAGAATTAAGTTTGGGAGCAGGTGTACCCCTGAAGTATCTCTTGGTTTTCAAATACTCCTCAAACTTCTAGGATAACCAGATCAAGTCTTCATCAACACTGTCCTCAGGGATGGTCACAAGTTTAGGGAGATCTGAAAGAGTAAGATGTAGTGTAGTAAGATCCAAAAGGAGTCAATGGAAGATCCACATTTGGTTATTCTTCTAAAACTAAGGTTACGCTTTCAAAAATTAAGTTTGGGACCAGGTGTACTCTTGATGTACCTCTTGGTTTTCAAATACTTATCAAACTTCTGAGATTACAAGATCCTCCAGAATCATCCTCTTCAGGGATGGTCACAAGCTTAGGGAGATCTGAAAGTGTAAGATCTAGTAAAGTAAGATGCAGAAGGAGTAAGTGGGTGATACATGTTTGGTTGTTCTTCTAAAACCCTTTGGGAATTAAGTTTGGGACTAGGAGTACTGAGGTATCCCTTATCAAATACTTTTCAGACTTCTGGGAATAGCAAATCCACCAAAAGTCTTTATTGGGATTACCAAATCCTCCAGAAGTACTTACTGGGATTACTAAATCCCCCAACAGTCTTTACTGGGATCACCAAATGCACCAAAAGTCCTTATTGGGATCACCAAATGCATCAAAAGTCCTTACGGAGATTACTAAATCCTCCAAAATTCCTTACTGGGATCACCAAATGCACCAAAAGTCCTTATTGGGATCACCAAATGCATCAAAAGTCCTTACGGGGATTACTAAATCCCCCAACAGTCCTTACTGGGATCACCGAATGCACCAAAAGTCCTTATTGGGATCACCAAATGCATCAAAAGTCCTTACGGGGATTACTAAATCCTCCAAAACTCCTTACTGGGATCACCAAATGCACCAAAAGTCCTTACTTGGATTACCAAATCCTCCAAAAGTCCTTACTGAGATCTCCAAATGCATGAAAAATCCTTACTAGGATCACCAAATACTCCAAAAGTCCTTACTAGGATTACCAAATCCCCAAAACTCCTTACTAGAATTACCCAATCCTCCAAAATCCCCCTTGCAAAGTCCCAGTTGCCAAATCTATTATATAAACTCTCTAAATCCCCCCACTCTCCATGCTCTCCATAATCTATTTATGAATCCTCCTCTGCTCCTTGGTATCCCCAGAGTCCATTCTTTCAAAGTGAATCCCTTGTCCATTCTTTCAAAGTCAATCCCTTGTCCATTCCTTCCACATTAACCCTCTCCAACTAGAAATATAATCCCTGACTATAACATTCTTGGTAACTGATCCTTGATGTTCTGTCATAGCTATGGGAGCAGCAGAAGCAGCTGGAGGAGCAACGGAGGGAGAAGGAGAGGCTGGAGGCGCTCAGGAAAAAGGATAAGCACGATCACAGCGCGATCGCCTCGACGGAGGTCAAGCAACGGCTTCAGGTACAACACTAGAAACAAACAATTACAGTGTCGAAGATCGTTGAACCACATACTTTAATAGGTGGTCTGAGCTTTTGATAAGAGAGTTTACAATTTCAGAGCTTCCTTGTGAACAAGAAGCAGAGGGAGGCTGCTGCCGCCGCGAACGGAGCGGTTCCTGGTACACCTGGTTACAGAAGCTGGTGAGAGTCGAATTCACGTTTGGAGCTTCTTTGAACGTCCTTTGCTTCGAGGTTGTCGTTGAATTAAGGGCACAGGGAATCAAGCTTAATATTTTCTTAATAATGCGGACCACATTGGTTTGATTGTCAGCTTAGACAAGCTAGCATTGCTAGCTAGACAGACAAGCTGTTATTATATGTTGATTGTTAATGACAGGCTGTTAAAAACTTTAACAGGCTGTTAAGGACTGTTAATGACACGAGAGTTAGCTAGCTGCTATTATGTGGACGACAACCCTTAAAATTTTGCTTCTTTCTTTTACTTGTGTCCTCATGTTAGCTCTTGTGTCCTCATGATCAATCTCTCTCGTGTTCTTCATTTTGAACGGGAGATTCAAACGTGTATTCCATACGAATTTGAACAATACTTGTAAGGTGAGCTACATCTTGTTATGTAGCTCAGATGGTTCCAATGAAAATATCTCATTCTTGAAGTAGTTCATACTATTTTATCTAAAGAGTATTTTAAAATTGAGATAGTATTAAAATTATCTTGTGAAATATTATCCAATCAGGTTGCAGCCACAGTCAGAATCGGCAGGCACCGTGAACTCCTCGCACCCCTACCGCATGCCGCAGATGCTCCAAGAGAAGTTCGCGGACGACTTTCCCCTCCGGAAAACAGGTACATATACTCTCGAACGTGAGCAATACGTCCTAAGATATAATAATATCCCCCGTGGTGTCGAGTGATACGCATACTTGGTGAAAGGTAGTCTCTCTTTCTATGTGTGCCTATGTACGATAGTAGAATGCCTACTAAAGCATGGTTTTTTGCGATCCAATCATTTTGCCTGTACAACGCCAAACGCGTTCCCTGTTCCCCATTACGTGTTGCCTTTGCGATCCACTCCTACTTCCACTTCCTCTCCCTGCGATTTTTTGCCTTTCCTGCTCCCTCCCTTGTTTTTGCCACCGTTTCTCCGGCCCCATACGTGGACGACCAACCACTAACCCTGGCTAAAATTGGCCAGCCTCGGAGCCGAACCTGCTGAAGGTGCGATTAAAGCAACGCGTGGAGAGGAACATGGCCGCCTCGAGAAACTCACCCCTGATGGCACGCCGGAAGGACCGTCTGCTGTCGCACCTCAAGCGGAGGTCACTGCTAGCAAGTACGTCCTTCGATCGAGCTCGGTCGGACTTTCGTTCGATCTCGTCGATCTTTCTCGACTCTTCCTGTGCGTGAGCATTAGTCGAACGGTTTCGTTGCATCCGTGTTTTTTCGATTAATCGACCGTTGATTTTTTTGCCTTTTTTGCAAGTGTCCAAGTAACAGCATGACTGACGACGAGAACCGATTACCGATCACAGTAACAATTTAAAAACGATACAGTTCGCCGAGCGCGTACGCGCGCTCCGCTTCGACCCGTCTCCGCTGTTCTCTCGTTCTCATTCTCCGATGTAGAAACGTACAGGGAGAGGAACAGGGACAGAGGGAAAGAGAGAGAAAGAGAGAGAGAGAAAACGGAGAGGCTCGCTCGAATTTCGATCTCCGCGAATGCGTCGCGGGTAACCGCGGCGACGCTCATCGACGCAACGCTGACGATACCTTTTCCAGATTCTAGCAGCAATCCAGAGTCTGGGCCTAACTCACCGCCGACCGTTAACAATTCCCAAGCGAGTCCTACCGCGGCCGGCAACGCGACAGCCATTCAAGAGGTGAGTACTTTTACCCCCTTGCACCTCCACATACAAAATTACCAATCATTCGAGATACTCATCTGCTCTTCCACCCACAGGAAACCGAAAACACCGGCTACGGCGGTCCTCTGTCCAGCAGCAGTCAACAGGGTAGTCTTTCGGACCTGTCGTTGTTCAGTTCACCGTCCATGCCAAACATCTCGCTGGGTCGACCTCACGTTCCGACCGGATCATCCGGCACGGTACGCTCCACTCTAAAGACTAACTTCGTCAACGATAACTTAACCTAACTGTCAACAAAATTTAACCTAACCATCAACAAAATTTAACCTAACCAAAATATTTCACTTTGCAGACCGGCACGAAATTGGCGACCGTCTCGGAGGCAGAGGTACGAGCCGCGTTCACGGCGCGGTTAGGTATGCCGCTCACGGGGCAAATGTTGCCGGGCACCTTGCCATTCTATCCGTCGTTGACGGTGATCGAAGGGGAACCGCCGTCGAGTGGGGGTAGCAGTGGCGGTAGCGGTGGCAGCGGTGGTGGTGGCAACGGCACCGCTGGCTACGTTCATAAACAGATGCAGCAAAATATGGAACACCATTCGAACAGGCAACACCCGTCGTCCGTGTATCACGCTGCCGCTGC